ATTTATTTTTTTGTTTTCTCTTGTGAAATAGAGCAACATCCAATGTAAGTGCATACTTTTATGTAAGGAATCCTAATCCTTGAGATATCCTGCACAATGGGAGTCACTGGGGTCCATTTATTAAAATTGGAGCTGCAAAGCTGGTGCAGCTCTGCAAATAAATTATCTTCCAGGTTGTTTGGCAAACAATTGACCAAGCTGAAGTTGGAAGCTGATTGGCTACCAAGCACAGCTACACCAGATTTTGCACGTTTTAGTAAATCAACCCTATATCTGCCGGTGGAGCAAGACACCTTTCCTTTTCTATAAAGCCCATTTCCAGGCAAAAAAAAAAAAAATGTTTTCCCATGCAGTGGAGCTGTGCCTGCACTGCATGGGTTAACTGCTTGTTTTGTCCAGGGGTGACCAGAAAGCGAATACTCACCCGATCCTCAGCTCCAGCTGCAAACGGTGCTCCCCCACGATTCAGCAGTGGCCTGTTCCTGACTGCCTCAGGTCCTGAGCAGGTCTATGGTCGTGATGACATCTGGAACAGTCCACTGCACAAGTCCACCGGCAAGGGGGGGTTGGCAGGAGGAACAGGAGATGTGTTGGGAGGATCAGGTAAGTATATCCACTTTCTCCAGTCCAATAGACAAAAGCGAGCAATTAACCCTCTCAGCCCCACTGCAAGGGAAAACGTGGCCTTTAAAATGGGCACATAGCAAGATATTACTACATATATATATATATATATGAGGGAAGCTGGGACTCCCCCCCCCCCATACCCCGAAGGGGTCAAGAACGCACTCTGATCTGCACTGCCCTGTATACTGGACCCAGATCACCCACAGGGCAAGCCTTGACGGCGGGAGGCTAGTCACACGGAGGTGGAGCACAACTGGAGTCCTAGTTCATGGCGGAGCAATGGAGGAATTGTGGGATCATCACTGGAAGCAATATAAGAGGCTATCCCGCCACATGTAATGTCTGTGGAGGAATGGCCGATCATTTCTTCATACATTTTCCTGTCAACACTTAATACGGCTTTATGAGTGTCGGTGCTCCGTTCTATTGGCGGTCAGATACATTATTGGGGCCAAACGCCTCACTTCCCGCCCCAGAACACTCACCGTGCAGGGAGCATGAGGCGGACAGGAGGTGGGGGGATACCTACACTTCCAGCTATACAAACCCGCCTTACACACCTTGTAACACCACCCCCCCCCTTTCAGTCTATATTGTGCTCTCCCACTCTATGGGGGCTTCACTGCCCCCCTCCATCCCTCACAGCTCCCCAGCAACTCACCGCTCTCAGCTACACGACGAAAGTCCGCGCCGAAAGGTCACCAGCCAATCAGAGGGTGTCTCTTTCCCTCTATCGGGTCTGTGAGAGGAAACCAGCGTGGAACGCACACCCCACAAACCCATTGGATTGGATAATAAAGGGATTATGGGAGACGAAGGGTTTCGATGCACGCAGAGACTACAACTCCCAGGAGACACCGCGCGGCACAGCTCCGAGAGAGTAAAGAAGCAATTGGAATTTATTGAAATGCAATGGAAACAAAAAAGAGAATCTTATTGGTGACTATAGGCACGGCCCAGATGTAGGATGATGCATGCATTCTGATGTCACAATGATTATAGTTAAATAAATTATATATATATGTATTATTATAATACAGGATTTATATGGCGCCAACAGTTTGCTCAGCACTTTACAATATAGCAGGAGACAATACAGCAACAATACAGTTCAATACAAGAGGGATAGGAGGGTCCTGGTCCTTGGAGCTTACAATCTAAGAGGGGGGGGCTGGTGGTACAAAAGGTAATAACTGTGAGGGAGTGACTGAAAGGAGGAATAGAACATTCTATTAATAGGTGAGGGCAGAATAGGCTTCCCTGAAGAGATAGGTTTTTCAGAGATCGCCTAAAAGTGAGCAGAGTCGGCAATAGTCTGATACATTGGGGTAGAGAGTTCCAGAGGATGGAGGAAGCTCTGGAGAAGTCCTGGAGACAAGCATGAGAGGAGGAGACAAGGGAACTAGAGAGCAGGAGGTTGTGGGAGGAGCAGAGAGTACGGTTTGGGTGATAGTTGAAGACAAGATTGGTGATGTCATTTGGGGTGGAGTTATAAATGGCTTTATATGTTATTGTTAGTGTTTTGAAGTTTATTAGTTGGGCAATGGGAAGCCAGTGGAGGGATTGGCAAATACTCTCTACACACACACCTATATATATATATATATATATATATATACATATACACACACAGGGGCGGACTGACAACTCATGGGGCCCCCGGGCAATAGGGGATTATGGGGCCCCTGTGTCCTTGCCCAAACTCAAAAAGCCTATGAAAAAGGTACCAGGGGCATCTCATGGGGCCCCCTACTGACCCCGGCCCTCGGGCAGTGCCCGAGTTTCCAAATGGTCAGTCCACCCCGTGTATATATATATATATATATATATATATATATATATATATATATATATATATATAGGTGTGTACATACATACATACACAGGCGTACCTCAGTTTACGAATGACAATCCATTGAAAATATTGCTTCGGTTTACAATTTTTTTTCGCAATTCGAGCGGATTAATTGGTTTTCAATGCATTTACGAATTTTTTAATCATGTCCCTGTACAGTATTTATGCCTTTAAAGTGCACTTTATAAAGAGTTTAACAGATAAAAGACTTTTTTTTAAAACTTTTTTCTGACCTCTGGAACGGATTAATTGGTTTTCAATGCATCCATGTGAAACCATGTTTTGGTTTACAAATTTTTCGCAAGATGAAAAGTCCCGCAGAAGGAATTAAATTCGTAAACCGAGGTACGCCTGTGTGTGTGTATATATGTATATATATATATATATATATATATATATATATATATACACACATACATACACTTTTCCTCAATTTTGGAGGGACGTCCAGTTCTTGGTAATGTCACTGTTGCGCCATATTTTCTCCACTTGATGATGACTCTTCACTGTGTTCCATGGTATATCTAATGCCTTGGAAATTCTTTTGCACCCTTCTCCTGACTGATAGCTTTTAACAGTGATATCCCTCTGATGCTTTGGAAGCTCGCTGCGACCATGGCTTTTGCTGTAGGATGCAACTAAGAAAATGTCAGGAAAGACCTACTAGAACAGATGAACTTTATGTGGGGTTAATCAGAGGCACTTTAAATGATGGCAGGTGTGTACTGACTCCTGTTTGACATGATTTTGAATGTGATTGCTTAATTCTGAGCACAGTTACATCCCCAGTTATAAGAGGGTGTGCACACTTATACAACCGCATTATTTTCGTTTTTTATGTTTACTTCCTTCCCCCCAGCTAAAAGATGTCAGTTTGTTTTACAACTGAGTTGTACAGTTTATAGATCACATTAAAGGTGGAAAAAGTTCTGAAATTATTTATCTTTGTCTCACTTTTATACATCACAGAAACTTGACATTTTAACAGGTGTGTTGACTTTTTATATCCAGAGTGTGTGTGTATATATATATATACATATTTATTTATTTTTAATTTATATTTTCTTATATATATTTTGTGACAGACACGCTTTTCCTTTTGACATTTGGGCGCCATTAACAATGATAGGCAACACAACCATGACAGGTGTTGTTTTGCATGTTTTATAAACACCCGCAAAATTGTGCACTTTTACACACATTCACAAAGCGCTAAAATGTGAAAGCAGCTTAAATCTTTACATGTATATATATTGCCCGCCCTCATGTTGTACAGTGCTGCATAAATTGTTGGTACTATATAAACCCTGTATAATGATAATTCAGTATATGAGGACTATAACAAAAATAATGCAAAAGTGGGCGTACGTTTTTGTGAAAGTGGTTGTAAAGGCAGAAGGTTTTTTACCTTAATGCATTCTCTGTATTTAGGTAAAAAAAACCTTCTGGGTGCAGCTCCCCCCAGCCTCCCAGTTATACTTACCTGAGCCCCGTCTTGATCCAGCGATGTGCATGAGAGCAGCGATTCTTTGAGCTCTCTCTCTCCTCACTGGCCATAGAGGAAGCAGTGGAAGCCATTGACTCCTGCTGCTCGGGATTTAGCGAGTGCCCCCATAGGAAACTACTCTCTGTAGGGGCACATGGAAGGGGGAGGAGAGCCAGAAGCATCGGCGGGGGAAGAGGAGGATCAGGGATGCCCTATGCTTTACAATTGCACAGAGCAAGTATTTAAAAAGAACAATTACCTTTACATTCTCTTTTGTTTACATAGGTTGTTAGTAGAGTAACACTTCCTCTATAGTAATTCTTCTTCTTTTTCATTGCAAGTAAAAATGGCGCTGGTGCCGCAACTTGCTTCCTGTCCCTCTGCCTCGATGGACATTCTGCGGGAAAGTTCGACATAAATATAATTCTTAATTTTTATTGCAGGTAAACAATGAATTCCAAGCAGAGGCAATATGCCGTCATTGAGTTGTTGATGAAGGAGAGGTGCAGGCTATCCAACATCTACATAAGAGCAATGTCCTGTCATTGGTGACTCTTGTCAATATTGTCATCTCTGTAAACATTCTGTAGCCCTTTGCTGATAGCCTGCACCCCTCCTTCATCAACAACTCAATGACGGCATATTGCCTCTGTTTGGAATCCATTGTTTACCTGCAATGAAAATGAAGAAGAAGAATTATATTTATGTCGAACTTTCCCGTAGACTATACATCGAGGCAGAGGGGCAGGAAGCAAGTTGCGGTGCAGTATGTTATATTAATTCCCAATCATTTTTATATATGAAATAATAACTCCCCAGTCATTTATATATGTAATAATAACTCTCTCTATGTAATAATAACTCCCAAACAGAAAAAGGCGTAAGTTATCTAAAATAAATTCAGTTTTTGAATTAAATGTTTATTATAAACCACCTTCCGCCCGCCATATAGTACAATGACGGGCACAAGGTGGTTTTCTCGTTCTGATATGACGTCATATGACGTCCTTCCATTCTCACCGCGCATGCGCGGCTCAGGGAACGCGCAGCGCGGCGATCGCCGGTGCGCTTTGTCCCTCGGACACAGCGGATCACGTAAAGAGCCGAAGATGTCGGCTCAGTCATGTAATCAGCTGTGTCCAGTCACAGCTGATCACATGTAAACATGGAAATGCTGGTTATCGGCATTTCTCTCCTCTTGAGCCGCCACGCTGACAGCTCGAGAAGAGAGGAAAGCCAGTAATCGGCTTTCCGTGGAGGGGACATGTGCACTGATCATCAGGGCACTGTTGATCAGTGTGCCCTGATGATCAGTGTAGCCCTAGCAGTGCCAGCAGTCAGTGTCCATCAGTGCCAGCAGTCAGTGCTCATCAGTGCCATGTGCCAGTGCCCATCAGTGCCACATATCAGTGCATACCAGTGAACATCAATGCCACATATCAGTGCCCATCTGAGCTTCCTTTCAATGTCACCCATCAGTGCCAGTCAGTGCCACCTATCAATGCCAATCAGTGCCACCTATCAGTGCCAGTCAGTGTTGCCTATCAGTGTGCATCAGTGCCGCCTAACAGTGCCAGTCAGTGCCGCCTAACAGTGCCAGTCAGTGCTGCCTATCAGTGCCATATATCAGTGTCATGTATCAGTGCTGCCTTTCAGTGCCCATCAGTGATGCCTGTCAATGCCCATCAGTGCAACCTACCAGTGCCTCCTCATCAGTGCCCATCAGTGCCACCTATCAGTGTCCATCAGTGCAGCCTATCAGTGCCCATCACTGCAGCCTCATTAGCGCACATCAGTGAAGGAGAAAAATCACTTATTTACAAAATTTTATAACAAAAACTAAAAAAAAAAAAACTTTTTTTTTCAACATTTTCAGTGGTTTTTGGTTTGTTTAAGAAACAATAAAAATCCCAGAGGTGATTAAATACCACCAAAAGAAAGCTCTATCTGTCTCAAAAAATGATAAAAATGTCATATGGGTACAGTGTTGCATGACCACGCAATTGTCATTCAAAGTGTGACAGAGCTGAAAGCTGGAAATTGGCCTGTGCAGGAAGGGGGTATAAGTGCCCTGTAGGCTAGGGGTTAAACAAATGAGTGCATTTATAACTTGGAATTTGGCGTTTTAAAGAATTTGGTGCTTTAAAGAATTGATCCTCCAAATAATTAATGATATCTTTCAATAATTAAAACCTGTTAACACTCTTACGTATATATTAACAGATAAGGCATATTAATTTAAGCTAACTTTTATGTAATTTAGCTTCTTCAAACCTAGGTGAGTTATTCTTACATAGAGTTATTATTATTATTTTTATTTGGGAGGTAATATAATACACCACAGAGGCAGCAGCGGCATTTTTCCCTTATTACAGGAGAGTGTTGGCCCGATTGTATATACAGGGATTGCTTTAAACCCTACAATAGATTCTCTATCTGTGTGCATTTCTCATTTTCCACAAGTCAAATGCCATTTTGCTGTTTATCCTTGTATCATAGAATTGCCTCTCTGTGGGATATTGCTGAACAGTGCAGAGTATCTCAGCGGGCAGGAGAAGGGTTAAACCTGCAAGATCTCGCCATCCCAGCCTTTGCATTCAGCTACAATGAATGATGTCATTCCACAAGACAAAAGCGACCAATGGCAGGCCTCGGAGGCTGACCCATATAAATAACAGCATGCTGAGCTGCAGATTATAGTAAGAGCTGCTGCTGCCTTTGCTGACCTGTGAGAGCTGCATCAACCATGTCACCCCAGGTAAACACAAATACATGTTACTAACTGCCATTTATACCTATTACTAACTGCCATCTGGCTGTATCCTGGAAAGACCTATGGCTTGGCTAGGAGTAGATGTTTGATTTCCTGCATCACTCATTGCAGCATTGGGCGTTATAGGTCCGGCACCTCAGCTGTAGCCATTATACAGCCGGCTGCCTGGCCCTACTATGTCTTTTACACTCTCTGGTGCTTGGATGATGGGGGGGAGCAGGAGGTGTTTATACAAAGCATGCATACTTGAAGCATCCCTTCGGGTGGACTATCCCTTTAATTAGGTGACTTCACTTTCTGTAGATCTATTGTCACCCAATGCACCTTCTGATGGATGTGCATTGTATCTAATTTCCTGTTCCCTAACAATATAACCTCACAATGGTGGGGGTCCTCTGCTCCTAGGGTAAATGTATATTTAGGTTTTTGTACCCCTTTTTTTTTTTTTTGTCAAGCATAATTCTTTTGTGTCCTAATGTATTATGATTTAGTTTTTTTTTTTTGTGTAAATCTTTTACTATCTGGATCTGGTAAAGAGAAAAAAAAATATGGGCTCCTGTGGGAGTGGAAAATCTAACCCTTTGTTGCAGGCAGTAAAGTGATAGCGTGGCTGACTGTGACCAATCAGCTTCCACCTGGTCCAATTCATTGATGGGGTTCCCATTTTTCCTTTTTTTTTTTTTTTTCCAAATTTATGTAACTAAATTAAAAGGCAGTGTTTCCCCCCCCCCCCCCCCCCCCCCCCTTTTTTTTTTTTTTTTTTTTTTTTTTTTTTTTTTTTTTTTTTCCTTTTGTCCCTTCTTTTCCTGTTAGAACCCAAAAATAAAACTTTTTTTTTTTTTTTTTTTTTTTTTTTTTTTTTTTTTCTAATGGGTAGGTAAGAAAATGAGAGGTTGTCTTGTCATTAACATTCAATGAGCTGTGGTAACCAATGGTACATTGCATTTTACTGCAATTCTTTTTAAAGTGGTATTTAACCCGACACTAGAAATGTAATATTGCAGCTTACCAATCATTAGACTCAGCAGCTTCATTCGTTTTAATTTTAGGCTTCCCCGCCCCCCCCCCATCCAAGTAACAGATTCACTTTAAAGTGGCATTAAAACAAAAAATGTAATATATTGCAGCTTGCCAATCATTAGATGTGGAGGCTGCATCCGTTTTCTTTGGTTCCCTTCCCCCCCCCCCCAGTTTTCACCTGGTGATCTGGCCAATAACACACCACCAGTATTCAAGCACCCCCATTCTGGATAAAGGAGCACAGGAGGCACCTTTGGACAGCAGCATTCTCAGTCTGGGGGGAGGGGAAGGGGAAGGGCGTGACTGGCAGATTTATATACACTAACAAACTGAAGCTAACACTGCAGTTACAGCAAGTTGATTTTTTTTTTTTTTCTCTTTTGGGATAAAGGTTTTACATAAAAGCTGGATACCCCTGTCCATGGTAAATGGTTTGTTCCACTCCTGCTACATCTGCAGGACAGCTTTTTATTTTGAAAAAGAACAAACTTGCTTACCAGTGAATGAGAGTCTAAAAAAGAAAAAAACTAATGCAGCCATGCCTTCAAAGAATTGGTACGCTGCAATATAATGTCTGCTTTTGGACTTAATACTGCTTTAAGCCTAGTTTCACGCTAGTGCTGCTGCACATTGATCCATTTTTCAGTGTCTTTTTGTAGTGCAATGTTGCGTGGTTTTAAACACATTTTAATGCTTTGTGCATTTTTTTGGAGGTGGAAGCTGGATTTTATACACAATTCTGCCAAAAAAATGCATGTTCTTGTAATTTTCATACACTCCCATTGAAGTCTGCGAGGCATAAAATATGCTGCACTCCACCATACGAAGCTCCTGCACCTCTTCAAAAAATACCCTGAAGGTTCTATATTGATGTGCAGGCACCATGGAGAATAATGTAATTATTGTGCAGCGCCACACCAAATGCAGGAGAAACTGCACTAGTGTGAACGGGGGCTAATGCAGAGGATGATGAGCATTCATTTAGAACCTCACCCTAATGCTTGCCACCCAACTTTCTGAGATAAAGCGGGATGCCTTCTAGCTCAATGGATTTAGCCAATGGACACACCCCTGCCACCCCAGTTATGCAGACCATGAACAATGGTTAATTTGTTATACCCAAATTGTTGTGGTTTTTTTCTTTTTTTTTTTTTTTTTTTTTTTTTTCCCCCACCATTTTTACTTTTATTTAGGGCACAATTAACACTTGGGGCTATTAGCAATTTAATTGTGGGTATTCCCAGTAAGAAGTGCCATTGAAAGCAATGAGGCTGACAACTCCTGCAGCTACTCAGAGCTGCTCCCATGTAATCATTCAAGCAGCGATTACCTGCGAGTGATCAGCCCTGGATGCAGACTGTTTAAAATGGCATATAAGATTAAGAGATCATATTGCCAAAAGTATTGGTCGGCCTACCTTTACACACACGTGAACTTTAATGGCATTCCAGTCTTGGTCCGTAGGGTTTAATATTGCGTTGACCTGCCCTTTGCAGCTATAACAGCTTCAACTCTTCTGGGAAGGCCGTCCACAAGGTTTAGGAGGGTGTCTATAAGAGAGGGAAGGTTTGACCATTCTTCCAGAAGCTAATTAGTGAGGTCAGGTACTGATGTCGGACAAGAAGGCCTGGCTCGCAGTCTCCACTCTAATTCATCCCAAAGGTGTTCTATGGGGTTGAAATCAGGACTCTGTGCAGGCCAGTCAAGTTCCTCCACCCCAAACTCACTCATCCATGTCTTTATGGACCTTGCTTTGTGCACTGGTGTGCATTCATGTTGGAACAGGAAGGGGTCATCCCCAAACTCTTCCCACAAAGATGGGAGCATGAAATTGTCCAAAATGTCTTGGTATGTTGACGCCTTAAGAGTTCCCTTCACTGGAACAAAGGGGCCAACCCCTGAAAAACAACCCCACACCATAATCCCCCCCTCCACCAAACCTTACACTTGGCACAATGTAGTCAGACATGTACCGTTCTCTTGGCAACTGCCAAACCCAGACACAAAGATCCGTGTGTTTTTTTTTTTTTTGTTTTTTTTTTTTTTTTTTTTGCCTAGTGGCCATTCACTGGCATCAAAAGTGAGGGTAAATGTAAAAATCGGAGATTCCAACAGAATAGAATATAGTGGAAATCTTAGAATGGGGACTTTCATCTCTGTTGTACACAGGAAGTAATAGGAAATCTCCCCAATAGAACACAGATGGGAATTTTAAAATACCCTTTTATATGTAAATCAGAACTCCGGAATTTTTTTTCTCCATGCACTGGGGCTGTGTGGGTTTAATTGCTCATTTTTGTTCTAGGGAAGAGGACAGTGGAGATGCACTTACCTGACCTTCTGATCTTCCTGCAGCACAAGACCGGTCCAGTAATTTTGAAAATGGACTGTTCCTGACGACAGTCCACTCCAAACTGTGGGGAGTGCGGTTTTCAGAGGATCGGTGGCTTGGAAGAGTACAAACTTTGCGCTCATCCATATAAAAAAAGATCAGTTGACCCATGCACTGCGTGGGGGGGTGGTTTGCCTGGAGTTGGGCTTTAACTCTAGAAGAAACAGCTGATATTAGGATTTTGGTGCCACTCTTTTGCAGTACTGTACTGCAAACCCAGGCCGATGCAGTGATGTACCCCAAGAAGAGGTTTGACTGCCAGCTTGGGTTTACAGGAAGTGGGTTGAAGGACACTGATTGTCTGGAAGAGGTCACTGTCGGACCAGTCGTTCTATGGCGGGCAGCACTAGAGAAAAAGTTACCATTGCAGCAGAAGCTGTTTTATTTACCATTATTTGGATAGTGTAGGGAATGGTTAAAGCAGAACTCCAGTTTCCATATTCAGTACAGCTGAATCATCTGTTTATATAGCAATAAAAGTCTTACAGATGTGTTCTGTGTATCATCTATGCAACATGCATTTTGCTGACAATAGCGTGTATTGCTTCTTAGAATTTGGTAGACTTTTCTGCAACTTGGCAAGTATTCCAGCCTGATCACTCTTAGGCTAAATTCACACTGCACCAGTGCACAAAGCAAGGTCCATAAAGACATGGATGAGCGAGTTTGGGGTGGAGGAACTTGACTGGCCAGTATAGTCCTGACCTCAATCCGATAGAACACCTTTGGGATGAATTAGAGTGGAGACTGCAAAACCAGGCCTTCTCATCCGACATCAGTGCCTGACCTCACAAATGTGCTTCTGGAAGAATGGTCAAACCTTCCCATAGACACCCTCCTAAACCTTGTGGACAGCCTTCCCAGAAGAGTTGAAGCTGTTATAGCTGCAAAGGGCGGGCCAACTCAATATTGAAGCCTAAGGACAAAGACTGGGATACCATTAAAGTTCATGTGCGTGTAAAGGCAGGGGGCCAATACTTTTGGCAATATAGTGAATATACGTTTACATAAAGCTACAACTTATTCTGATTAGATGCAGCTGCTGTTTGGCACACAACTTTGATTTTTCAGCAAAAGATTTTGGGCAGGAAGGGGCCAACAGGGTCACCACAAAATCTTGGCCAGATCATAAAGAACCATCTGAAGTTCACACCAGTTTTAGTTTTGTGCCTTCTTTTAGTCCTGTCTGGAGTTAAGCTTTTAAAGGATCACCTGATTGATTTTTTTTTTTTTTTTTTTTTTTTTTTTTTTTTTAAGCTCCCCCAGCTTCAGAAACTGTATTTTGGAGATCCAAAAACTGTTTTGGTGTTTTGTCAACAGTGATTCTTGATTTTTGATTGTAATATGCCAACACCTACTGAACTTTGGGCACAAAAACCTTTCATTTAAATGTATTCCTCATTGGCCACAAAAGATATTATTTTACCATTTGTGCCAAAATCCTTTACAAGGTAATGACTTGGTTTGTAAAAAGTATGCAGTGGTATCATCACTGGGATGTGCATAACCTTTGCGAATAGCAGAGCTCTGAGAGGGCCTTAGCAGGTTTCACACACTAAAGGCTGCCAGCAGAAAATTACAGGAGGGGGCGGAGATGAGACCAGTCACCCTGCGCAAGGAGAGAGAGCAGCAGTGACTGGTTTTTATTACAGGAAGCTCCTGAACAGAGGTAAAGTCTGACCCTGGATTACTGCACAGATCTGGAGGACGCACACGATTCAAGGATGAATACACATGACTCTTGTAATCGGACAATATTTGTTCTGGAGATGGCTTTCATGCATGCTCATTACTCTTCACAATATCATTGAGTAAGTCCGACAGTCATTATTAAATCAGTTCTTAACTTTGAAGTATGCCCATATCTGGATTTTCATCTTGCTTATTTCTTGGAACAAAGTTCATTTTTTTTCAAGGATGTGCATACAGTTCAGGTGATAAAGATTATCTCATATCATGGGTCATAACTGATGTTGGAAATTATGTCCTTAAGCATTTATGTAAATGTCAAAAACTGCCCTTTGAGAGGAACCAAGCTGTTTTTAGTACATGAGGCCATTCTTTCAGCCTTGATGCCTCTCAAAGGCAATATATATTTATTTTGATCTTTTACATAAAGCAGAACTTCCCCTTCTGGAGGGGAGCTTCGCTTTAAGGACTGCTCCCCATTAAGGATTGGCACCTTTTGGGGGGGGGAGCGGGTACCCAAATTTGACAGGTACCCGCTCCCACTTCTGGTCCGATCGCCTAGGCGATCAGAAGCGGAAGGTGTCCTCCCTCCCTGTAGTCTTTTGGGACATGTGATAGGTCCCAGAAGACTACAGGACCATTCATGAAGCGCAGCTCTACTCGCACATGCCACAAGCTGTCACAGCCAGGTACCCACACTGAAGATGCCGGCCTCCTGGAATACAGGACGGCCCTTGAAACAGGCTGTGGGGGACACACTGATGGACAGGTAAGTGGCTGTTTTTTAAAAGTCAGCAGCTACAGTTTTTGTAGCTGTTGTCTTTTATTTTTTGACAGGGTGAGTGGAACTCCGCTTTAAAGTAGAACTACACTGCTCAAAAAAAATGAAAGGAACACTTTGAAAACACATCACTTCTCAAGAGGGAAAAATCTCCTGCTGGGTATCTATACTGATATGGACTGGGTAATATGTTAGGAACGTAAGGATGCCCCAACATTTGCTGGAAATTAAAATTTATCAACCTACAGAAGAATGAATTCAAAGACACCCCAAAAAATGATGCAGCAGGCTAGTCCATTTTACTGAAATTTCATTACAGCCACTCAAAATGGTACTTGGTCTCTCTGTGCACTACTGACTCCTGACCACATTCTAGAAGTAGAGGGAATCCTGTCATTCATTCACCTTTCCCCCTGTCGCATACCTCGTGGAGATTGAATTGAAGAGGGGGGGCTTCGCTTATATCTCTTGCCAATACCCCTCATAGAGTGTAAGGACAGAGTGGCATAAGAGCTGATATAGCAGGAAGAACCAACTGGGGTTTGCAGGAAGCAAAAGACCATAGATCACCAGGCAGGATCCAGGAACTGGAACACGGTGACAATTATTAGGCAGAAAGCAGTGCAGCCAGGACACAAGCCAAAAGGTCATCAACAGCCAGATGGCAAGATACAGGAACATTAGGCCGAGACAGACTCGGGATACAAGTTGGGATTGGTACACAGCCAGGCAGCGAGGTACAAGAACGCAAGACAGGAGCAGAGTCGGAAAAATACAAGCTGAGGTCACAGTAGGCAGGCAGAAATCCAAAGACCGGTCAGGGGCAAGCCAGGTCATAAGCAGGTATGGCAGGTCAAAGCTCAGGTAAAGTGGAAACTAGCTGAAGACCACTCGGCAATCCATCCATGTCAGAGTGCAGCTTAAATAAGCCATCTAATGCCAGTGTCCATAGGTGTGCATATGTTTTCTGCAAGCGCTAATACACTTGCGTGGGTGAGACATTGCCTGTATTGTATTGCGCTTTTTGCTCAGAATTATGAGCATGCAGATAAGTATGAACATGTGCCAACCTTCTCGCGCCAACATGTACTGAGGTTCTTACATCCCCAATCACAGAATGTCGCATTCTGAAGTCTGAAGTCTTTTATGAATTCAGGAGAGGACAGAAGGGGAGGGTGGCTGGGTTGCTGGAAATTCCTGGGGGGCAGTAAAATGCACATTTGAGTGGTTTTCCTTCCCCCTTCTTTTTTTTTTTTTTTTTTTTTTTTTTTTTTTTTTTCTGTGCTTTGATTATTTGGACAATCTCGATGATGGGACAAGCATGGTTAAAGTGAATAAGTACAGTGCCTCAGCGTCCATATTCTGCTGTAATGAATGGGTTCATTAACGTATTCTAGTTCCACCAGGTCCAGTAACGGACCAATCTGTAACAGTATTGTGTGAGGTTTAGGAAGGCTGGGTGAGAACTGTCAGTAGGGCAGTGTACAATAATGCCATTGTTCCTCAATTAAAGGGCAAGTTCACGTTTGGGTTCTTATGGTAAAGTTCCTTAAAGGGCTAGAGTCCGACACACTAAGTCTGAGCTACACTATTTGGTGCTTATGCAAATATCTGAAGACGAATAAAACGGCTGTTTTTTGGTTTACTTTAAGATGGCTGATGAGCATCCAAAAAGTTGTCTCTAAAGTGAGCTGCTACAGGGTTTTTTTTTTTTTTTTTTTTTATCTTGTGGTTATTTTTGTTTTCAAAGCCCTTTCAATAGCAGCTAAAGACCGCTGCATTCTCTACAGCAGTCTGACACCCCTGCCTTACAGCGCTGCAGTCTAGAGTGTGAGCTTTGCAGCCCTCGGGGGGGGGGGGGGGGGAAAGAGTACCAGACCGCTGTACAGAAACTGCTGCTCTCACATGGCAGCCATTAAGCTGGCCATACTCTGACTGCATTTTTGTAAGTTCCTGATGAACTGGGCAAAAGCTGCTTCAGGGGTGGCCCTGTCAGACCTAACCCTCCCACCCAACATCTATTGATGGAAAATTCAGTCAAACAGCAGCTGCTTCCAGTTGCTGTTTGGTGTTAACAGCTGCAGCAGTAGATCTGTCCATCCATGCTGTAAAGTGTGTGTGGTCAGCCTTAGCAGTAATCTCTCTGGGAATGGGGCCTTTGAAAATGGGTATTAAAAACGTTCTGTTTAATATACTCTGAATTTTTCCCATCCATCTTTTCCTAAATTACAGTTGGGCTTTATGGCCGGTTCACACCATAGAAATGCTGTCTGGATGTGTTTCTGCATGCACGTGTGATGCATTCCAGTGTGTGGGTTTGTTTTTGTTTTGTTTTTTATGCATTTTACTGCATTTCAGTAGCGTTCTGTGCAGAAAAATGCAACATGTTTACTTTTTTTTTTTTTTTTTTTTTTTTTTTTTTTTTTTTTTCTCTTGTAGCTGGAATGCACTGAAACTGCAAACACTAGTATGAACCATGCCATTGACAACCATGCAACCTACTTTCTCTGCATTTTGGATGCAGAAAAAAAAAGCACCGGAATGCATGTAGTGTGAACCAGCCCTTAACCAAAGCTGAAGACTTATTTTTTTTTTTTTTTGGGGGGGGGGGGACTTTTGAAACTGATCCTACATTAAAATGTAACACTCGTGAGATTTTAGTTGTTTGGATCCACTATAATGGAATTAGAATTTTCTTTAGGCAGTGATTATGAAGGCCCAGCTCAGTAGTCTATTCTTTCCCACTTACTTTTTCTGTCACTTGATTTCCTACAGGCAGATTTTGACAAAGCAGCGGAGGAAGTAAAGAAATTGAAAACAAAACCAACCGATGATGAAATGAAGGAACTGTACGGTCTCTACAAGCAGTCCACTGTTGGGGATATAAATATAGGTATTGCTTCATGTCTGTATGGGTACAGCAGATTCCAGTACTGTGAAGAGGAAAAGTACAGGTATTATTATTATACAGGATTTTATATCGCACCAACAGTTTGCTCCGCGCTTTACAATATAACGGGAGACAATACAGTTCAATACAAGAGGGATAGGAGGGCCTGATCCTTGGAGCTTACAATCTAGGAAAAGCATGCCCAGATACATTCCCCGAGGAGGCACATTGTGGATATTGGTCTTAGTCATGGCTATGACCGCTCTCCCATTACATCTCTTCAGACTGCCAGTACGGCCATTATACCTACAATACTACAACTTGTCATTTCCTGAGCTAGTGCAACAATGACAGTTAAAATAAAGATCAGGGTTTTTTTTTCCAGCAGGAATGCAGGGGAACACTGTTCTGGTACTGAATGTATATAATGGTAAGGGGTGCTGGGGTGTGATAGAGGTTCTATTTACGATGGCTGCTGCGGAGATCTATTTTTGCTGGTGGGGGATATATTGTTGCTGGGGAAGTCCTATCTTGCGGGGGGGGGTCAGTTATTACTGGTCAGGATCTACTACTGAGGGAGGGGGCTAATGTTCCTGGCTGCAGGGAGATCGATTGTTGCTGTAGGGGATTTATTTTCTTAAAATCCATAAAAGATGCTTAGAACCACTAAACACTTGGTTCTGTATTAATTAAAAGGGGCAGTACTGGGAGGTCAGTAGGAAATGGAACCAAGAGGCAGTGCCTGGAGGTGAGTAGAGTCCGAGATAATGGGTGACTCGGGGAAGGGGGAGCCCTGATAAAGATAAACTAGAACTGCAGTGAACTATAGTAAATAAAACTGATAAAAGGTTAATGTTCAACTGCCTACATTTTTGAACGATTAACCTAAATAATCGCAAAGGACGTCTACTCTGGTTTGGTTTTTGTGGTGATTTTGGTAAATCAAATGAATTATTGGGGGGGGGGGGGGGGGGGGATTTACTAATATTGAAGTAGATGGGATCTGGAGCAACTGTGCAGAGTAACCAATGAGCTTTTATCTTCAGCTTTTTCAGTCCTAGCTTTGAAAATGAAAGCTAGATGGTGATTGGTTGCCATGCACTGCTGCCCCAGTCTTGGTAAATTCTCCCAAGCGTGTACAGGTAACGGTTTGTTTACAAAGATAAAGTATAATATTCCCAAGCTGCAGGCCCTAACCTGTAGACAATGGATGGTTTTCTGGGATAATTTTGCCATTATTATTTTATCTATATATTTTTTCTCAGCACTAAGCGTTCAGTGCAGCACCCATTTCTCCTGTTCTAGCTAAATAAATTTTTATATATATATATATATATATATATATAAATATATATATATATATATATATATATATTATATTTTTTTTTTTTTTTTTTAAAATCCGGCCAGCTGTAGTTTGTACCAGTGGCAGGTTCAATGTAACATGACTGTTTTGCAATATTTTGTACCTTGTAGTGTACTGTAAGTGAAACTGCTGTCTGTTTTGTGCAGAGTGTCCTGGCATGCTAGATCTGAAGGGCAAGGCCAAGTGGGAAGCATGGAACGTAAAGAAAGGTGAGACTTAATCTCCCAGTCCATTGCTCTCTTAGTAACCATATAATTTCTATAAATTTATGCACAGTGTACACTCCGCTAGAACTACATACTAACAACACAAAGTTACTTCATCTAAATTTGCAGCTTACAGGTTATCCCAGAAAAGGACCAAAACGTTTTTTTTTTTTTTTTTTTTTTTTTTTTTTTTTTTTTGCATCTTGCATAATTTTAGCCATTTTCTTCCAGGTCTGACTCCCAGGCCCCCATTCATTAGATTTAAAAGAGAAGTAGGGCTCGTTCCCCCCCCCTTCCCCCCCTCCTTAATACTGGCCTAGGTGGATGCAGCATAGGTCCTAAACGGCTCTAAGTGTGGGAACTCGGCGATCACATGACCACTGAGTTCTCACACCCCGCTCTGAGCAGAGAGCAGTGACTGTCGGTCACCACTGTCTGCTCTGCCCCTGGTAAAAGATGAAGAATGATGACCTAAGTGTAGAAATGGGAAATACTGAAGCAGGTTTCTGTTTTTTTTAGCTCCTCAGGGGGACCCACTATTACCGCAGAGATGGGATTTATACAAATGAGGTGGACAGTACATGTCTCTGTAATCACTTGTCAAATTACATCAATTATCTCTCAAGAATGAGTGTCTGTCTGTATGCATTCTTGTGCTTTTTTGAGTTCTTAAAGAAAAGGCTTTTTTTTTTTTTTTTTTTTTTTTTAATACCCATATTTAGGATGTATCATGCTCCCAATTTAGTCTAATACAGGAAGGTAAAAAAAACCTGTGTAGCAATGCCCCCCTCCCCAATCGCCTAAGCCCCCTCTCGATCCAGCTATGTGCACTGCAGTCTTGGCTATCCTGGGACTGCCCCCTTCTCACTGATTGAGACAGAAGAGAGCCATTGGCTCCCACTGCTGTCAATCACAGCCAGTGAGGAGAGGAGGCCAAGCCACAGCTGTGAATTGACACACTGAGCAGTGGGTGCCCCATAGCAAGCTGCTTGCTGTGGGGGCACCCAACAGGAGGGAGCAGCCAGGAGAGCCTGCTTGGGACCCGAGAAGAGGAGGATCCAGGCTGCTCTGTGCAAAACCACTGTGGTCCCCCCCCCGCCCCCTAAAAAAAAAAAATAAGCCTTTAGAATCCCTTTAAATACTGCAGCACATGGCCATGTGATGGCAACCAGGGGCATCTGAAACTACACTACCACATAGCCATACAGAGGACCAGTATGGGCTGCCTTGTGGTCGTTCGACCAAAATCGGAAAACAAAGAGTAAAAAAAAAACCACCATATTTGCAACAAGCATGTACCCGATCCAGCCAATAGGGTAACTTTTAGTGCCATTATCAGAAGGTTTGATAAGTATTTAATCTAATAGTATTGGTTTTGTGTTGGGATGCACCAATACTGGTATCTGTGCCAAAAATGAGTATTTTCATGAATATTCGCGTAAATACTACTGATACTTTGCGTTTTTTTTTTTTTTTTTTTTTTTTTTTTTTTTTTTTTGCATTAATGGACGCAAATTGCGCCGCAAAGATTGGCATGCAATTTTCACAGGAATGTGATTCCTGTCATTCTCATGCACTTTCCTCACTACTCCTGTGTGAACCCAGGCTTGTCATAGCCCGACTTACACAGGAGCAGTGCAGGAAACCTCCTTGCCGGCATCCCATGCTGAGTCTTGGGTAGAGGACTTTTTTGACTGGTCAGCAGCACCGTCACATGGATGGTGTTGACCAATCGGATGTCGCCTGGCCCGAACTGTCATTACTGCAAGGAGAGAAGAGAAAGCAGCGGGGATTTAAAATCCTCATCTCCTTGCAGGGATGAAAGTTCAGGCTAGACGGCATCTGATTTGGTCAGCACTGTCTGTGACAGTGCTACTGACCAATCAAAAGTCCTCTAGCCCAAACTGTCATTGCTGCAAGGAGAGGAAAAGCAGCGGGGGGCTAAAATCCCCAAATTTCTCACCACGGAGACTCAGCATGGGAAGTTTCCCGCACCGCTCCTGTGTGAACTCGGGCTATGACAAGCTTGGGTTCACACAGGAGCAGTGGGGAAACCACATGCAATTTGAACAGAAATTACATAGTGTTTTAAATCGCATGGTATTCTTTGTGGTGTAATTTGCATTCATTTCATGAATTCAAATTGTACTGCAAAGTTCGGTAATCTGTCTCGGCGAGTACTTGACTGAAAGCATCGGTACTTGCCGATTTTTAAAAAAAAAAAAAAAAAATTAATGGTGCATCCCTAATGCCAGGTCAGATCATGAAATGCCCCAAATTTTCTTTGATAACCAAAGGAAGTCATACTGGAGTACTACAATGCACAATTGCATAATTAAAGCTCAAAGTTGGCTTTTTATTACTATAAATATATGTATAAGCTGAAATAACTTGTATCTCCATGCTTAAATGGTGAAAATAAAATGCCGTTTGAAGCAGTTTTTAAATAATAAAAATATAAATAAGTTAGAATCGTTCTCATAAACAGCGCTCTTTTATTGGTTTAGGGTAAATTCAGTATAACTCCAAAAAAAAAATCCACCATCGTGATCCTGCAGTGATTAACACCCCATTAAATAAACACTCGCCAGATGCTGGTGAGTAACCAGCAGTGGAAAAATCAATCTTTGATGAATGGTTGTAAAACCGACAATGGAATATTCAACCTCAGTAACAGAACAAGATCACCCTCCATCTAATGAATTAATGATCCCTCTCTTTCCGACCTCATCATTAAGATTTACTGTTAATTTTCCAACTCCACATGTGGGCAAAGTGAAAACAACCACATAACAGAATTACACTAACACATTTATTAACCAAAACCCCCCTTAAAATGGAACTCGCATTGAGTCAAAAGAAAGCACATTGTGTACATAACACTCCAAACGTACTGGCAGCCGCTTCAGCAGCTAGTGACAGTCTCACCCAGGGGCAGACTGACCATTTGGAAACTCGGGCACTGCCCGAGGGCTTGGGGTCAGTAGGGGGCCCCATGAGATGCCCCTGGTACTTTTTTTTTTTTTTTTTTTTTTTTTTTTTTTTTTTTTTTTTTTTTTGCGCGCCCCGGGGGCCCCACAAGTTGTCAGTCCACCGCTGGTCTCACCACACACACTTTCTGACAGTCACGTGGTCCCGGCGTGCCCGCTGATGTCACAGATTGTTTCGCCATTCCGACTTCCTCTGAGGGTGTCTACTATGTGTGTACCCACATGGAATTTTCCTGTGTGAAGGACATCCAATGGAGAAGCAACAATTTATAACCAAATGAGGAAAGGTTGGAACTCTCCCATTGGGTGCAGACAGTAATACAAAAATTTATTTTGTTTTAACAAAAGCTTCCACCCTTGAAGACCACTCTCTGCCTTCTTTGTTTTCAGGCTTGTCTAAAGAAGATGCGATGAGCGCCTATGTGTCTAAAGCCCATGAGCTGATAGAAAAATACGGCGTGTAACGAGGTCACATGATCTCCTATGGCCTCCACCCAGCAGTAACATAACTGTCAAGACAAATGGAAAGAAAGCAATAACAACACTATATACCAGTTCTTGGCTCACGTGATATTTCAGGTATAATTAACATAGGATTGTCCAGTCAGATAAAACTTCCTTTGGTCTGTACTTTCTGCATTGACTTATTAAAACTTTTACAGAACGACAGGTGTGTTGTTGTGTTTTTAGAAGGATATGTGATACAGCTCTGCATATTGGCATATGTATTATTAAAGGAGAACTATAGGCAAAATCTTTATTCTTTCATCATAGAATAAGGGAGGATTTTAACCTGTTTTGTTTTTTTTTTTTTTTTTTTTTTTTTTTTTTTTTTTTTTTTTTTTGCCTTCACTTCCTGTCAGAAGCCATAGCCAAAACAGGAAAGCTGCAAATGAGGGGGCAGTCCCTTAAGGGTGGGGGGCAGGTAACTTGAGCTAGGGTCCCCAGAGGGGAAATCTTCTGGTATTACTTTTCTGGGGACAACCTAAAAATGTGGATGTTTTTTCAATGATAATGGTAAACGGGTGGATTAGTCACCCTGTGTGTTTGCCCTAACGGGGTTACACATAGTGTTTGACTTTTTAGTTACACTTTAGGTGTGTGTGTGTTAAAACACATAGGTGTGAACCAGGCCTTAAAGTGTTACTAAAACCCTAGACCTGCATTCACTATATCTGGTCTCCCATAGTACACACAACATGGAAATGTATTTTAGTAAATAATAAACTGCTAATACCCTTTCTTATGATCAGTTAGGGCAGTCTTGTGACTTTCTCAGTGTCCAGCTAAGCATTGGTTAATCTTGTAGAAGGAGTTTTCATTCTGCTATGGCTGTCCTATGAGGCTGCATGATCCCTGACTCTGTCTGGACAGTGCCGATTGACTCTCTGCTGATCACATGTACCCTCCCAAAGAAAAAAAAAAAAAAAAGCTCTAGCCATACACCTAAACTGAGCATGTGCAGAGTGACTCCTAGAGCTTTGTATGATCAGCAGATGGATTTGGGATAGTAAAAGGGAGGATCAAAGAAGTCAGGCTAAAACAGCCTTTTTACACTTAGGTTCCACAGTGAATATAACAAGCATGCTTTACTGCATATACAGACTGTTGTGGGGTTTAGTAACACTTCTAACAAAAATGTTAGATGTCACCCAAAATGCCTTCCACAGGGTTATCAAATTTCTTTGTGGTCCCGGAGTGATGAGTGTAATCCATCTATGTTCAGCAGGTGCTTTAAGAAGCAACTACTTATTTACACCCAACTGTTGGGGTTCATTTATAAAGGATTGGCTGTGGAATTTATTTATTTCAGGTACTTGTATAGCACCGTCAATTTACGCAGCGCTTTACATATATATTTGTACATTCAAATCAGTCCCTAACCCTCAAGGGGTGTACAATCTAAGGTCCCTAACTCACATACACATACTAGGGACAATTTAGACAGGAGCCAATTCACCTACCAGCATGTCTTTGGAGTGTGGGAGGAAACCGGAGTACCCGGAGGAAACCCACGCAGGCACAGGGAGAACATGCAAACTCCAGGCAGGTGGTGCTGTGGTTGGGATTTGAACCAATGACCCTAGTACTGCCAGGCGGAAGTGCTGACCATTTAGCCACTGTGCTGCCCACATTCCAATGGTGAATGTTTGCTGGCTATTCGTTCATCTGTATTTAAGGACTCTCCTATCCTTTTCACCCATTACGTTCAAAGACCAATCATTCATTACTTTTGTGAACTGGTGGGTGAATCCCCTTTTTAAAGGAAAATTACAGTATGTCCCATCTTCAAAGAAAATTCAAACATTCTATTGAACAAGATTCAGCTTTCAGGAGTTACATGCAACACAATGGGGGAGATGCCAATAAACAAGATTTTGCCCATCATTTTCAAAGGGCATTTGTCTATGTGTAATATGGCGGCCAATAAGCCAGTCTTGTTTGAATCTCGCTATTTTGTTGAGTTTCTGATGGGTTAATCCTGTTAGGGTCATGTTCACACTACACACGCTCTATAAAGTAATCACAGTGGCTTTTTTTTTTTTTTTTTTTCCCAGTGGCGATCTTGAATGTAAGTAACATTCTGCAACCACCAGCCAAATGTGGCTTGCAGCTGCAGTGCTTAACAATCAAAATTGACTCTCAATTGCCGTGCAACCCTATTGACTTGAATAGGCAGGGTTTGCCCTCTCTGGCTATATATTATCTTTTAGGTGGGCAGCTGAACTGCGGCTCAACAACCTGTTTGCAACCCATGTTGGCCTAAATTTGATGGGTGAGGCCTTTTGGAAACACTTTGAAAATGATGAGCAAAGCCTTCATCCCAAAAGGGATAAACTGTAACAATTATAAAATATTAGCTGGAGTATGACTTCAATTTTGTTGTATTTAAATCTGCTAAAACATCTAACACTCCCCTCCCCACATACTGAGAATGCTGCTGCCCAAAGGTGTCTCCTGTGCTCCTTCAACCGGAGTGGGGGCGCTCTTAATACAGGAGGTGTTACTGATCAGATTACCAGAAAACTGGGGGCGGACCAAAGAAAACTGATGCAGCCTCCACATCTAATGATTGGCAAGCTGCAATATATTACATTTTTGGTTTTAATGCCACTTTAAAGTGAATCTGTTTTACTTGGATGATCAAAGCACTTGTTAACTTTATTATAGGTACTTATCTAGTGCCATCAAGTTATACAGCACTTTTTATATATACACATACCTTCACAGCAGTCCCTGCCCCCAAGAGGTTTACAATCTAAGGTCTCTAATTCACATACATACACATACTAGGGCCTATTTAGACAGGATCCAATTAACCTACCAGCATGTCTTTTGAGTGTGGGAGAAAAATTGAGTATCTGGAGAAAACCCACACAGGGAGAACATGCAAACTCCTGGCAGGTAGTGCTGTGGTTGGGATTCAAACTATGCTGCTAGGCAGAAGAGCTATCCACTTAGCTACTGTGCTGTCCATTTACTACTATTGTATTAAGGCCTATTGAAATGAATGGTCTGCAGTGTGCCCAGATGTGACGACCCCCCCCCCCCCCTTTTTTTTTGTTTTAATGTATTGCCATGTGTTGGCTTAGTGTATTGGGGTGCCATTTAAAATGAATGGCAGAGTAGTAGTAGTTATTGGTACTTGTATAGCGCTGTCAATTTATGTAGTGTTCTACATATATTGTAGATGTACATCAGTCCAAGCCCTCAAGAATCCTAAGATCCCTAACTCCCATTCATACATACACCTACTAGGGCCAATTTAATCATACAATTAACCTACCAGCATGTCTTTGGGAGGAAGTACTCGGAGGAAACCCACACAGGCAAAGGGAGAACATGCAGACGCAATGACCACAGGGTGTCGGTGTAAATGGGCCTGAAGGTCAAAAATTGCCGACTTTAAGTGCCTAGCAGGTTTGCTGGTCATCAATAAATTCAGGTGGGTCTGCGTCCTCTGGAATGACTGGTGTGGTCCTCTTACAGTAGAGCAAAATCTGAAAATGGTTATAAGCTTTTCTCCGAAATGGCATATCCAAATGTAGGCATGTAGATATTCTTTATTTATTGCTGAATTTTGGACTTTTTTTTTTTCTTTATTTCGCTGTGACGTTAGCAGTTTAAAATGAAATTCTGTTTTTCTGCTAGAGCAGTGCCATTAATTATCAGGCACAGGTCTGCCTTAGTAAAACGGCTGTTTCCTGGATACCTTGTTAGAAAGCATGTAAATCTAAGCCAGCATTCCCCTGTGAGCTGTCCTCTGGGGTGAAGAGCACTGTGTTTTTCCACTTGATTCCTTGTTAGCAGCCCTGGGTGCAGATGTAATCTACCGCAATAAGCTCCATCCTAAATGGGTATTTCACTTTGGGAACTAGCTTGGGGAATTTGTAAATATATTGATGGCTTATTTTACACTTTTGCTGCAGCAAAACTGTTGCATTTAGCTGCATGGATATAGAAGAATAGTGCAGCGCAAGATCATACGAAATAAAATTACCTAATACATGAAAAATCATCAATACATGATATATGTGCAAAGAAAACTGCTCCCAATTGCTGTAATCAATATCCAAATGAAATATCAATCCATATATCACATATGGACCGATACTACAAATAATAAACTGTGGTAACAAATAAAGTCCAATCAGTGAAGTGTATATCTAAATTCATATAGTATCCAAAACAGTGCAAAGAGAAAGAGAGGGCCAAAAATCTTCACTGTGTCACCAGCAGTGTGCACTCCTCCACCTATATGCACTCACCAGGGGGCTAGAGCAGCCTTTCTCAGCCAGGGTGCCTTGAGGTTTTTTCAGGAGTGCCTTGAGAAAATGTCTAAAAATTGCCCAAAACTTGTATACAAACAGTGGGTGGAACAAGCCTGCCTTTTAGTTACACAAAGCCACAGGTTTTAATTTTGCACCAAAACAACCTTCTAGCCACCGGCGTCCTGACAACCAATGACATCATCAGTTGATAAGGAGGATGTTGGTTGCCTGCACAGCATCCTAGTTTGACCCTCCCCTGCCCCTGTCCATCAGTGCTGGGGTCACATGAGCTCAGTGATGGAGAAAAACTGAGGGAGAAGAGAAACATTGGAATACTAGTCAGTACCAGCGTGCAAAAGAGTATTTGCTTTGGAAGAATAAATCACCTGTAATGTTGGGTGTCCTACATGTGTGGATGTTGCTGCGTTATATAAAACTATTAGAATAGTTTTTTCACATTTTAGAAAGGGGTGCCCTTTTAAAATTATGGACAGTAGAGATGAGCGAATTATTCAAAAATTCGATTCGGCTGATTCGCCGAATTTGCAAGAGCGATTCGATGCGAATTTATTCGATGCAAATTTAACTTATTAAAAGGGTTTCTAGGCTTCAGAGAGCCTTTATATTAGTGCAGAACACTGTACCTTTAATTTAAATGCCCTTGGAGTCTGCTGGGGAAGAGAAATAATACT